TATTGATATTTTATGTCAAGAAACATAATTCACATTCTATTCCAGGGGTGGATCCAGCCAGTTTTAGAAAGGGGGGCATTCCAGGTCGGTGTCCCCAGCACTCAGAAGCAGATCCAGAATTTTTTTCCAGGGGAGGGGGGGTCCACCTCAGTCCAGAAAAATTCGAACCCAGAAATTTCTAGACAAGCAAAAACAAAAAAACCTGTAAACGCCCAAACTTTAAAAACCTATTTCGTTGGGGGGGGGGGGGGGGGGGGGGGGGGTAGCCAATGACTTCTAATTCTTCAAACCTTAGACTTTTCATACCAATTTAACACAAATTCGCGTTTACCAGGGAGTCTGCGTTTTCCGAGGGGGGCCCAACGTAACTTTTTTCTTGCTTTAGTATATCACTTTAGATAAGATTTATTAATACCAATTTGGGGCCCATCAGGGCATACAAGTAATAAGAAAAAATATACAAGAAGAAATTCAAAATTGATAGTAGCAACTAACAAAAGATAAATGATGATACAGCAGTTGGGATATCACACTTGCTGCAAAAAGTAGATTGCGCATGGCACTCATGCATATCACACACGGCCACTTCAAATTATATAAGGGGGACCTCCAAAATCAGTTGACAAGGAAAAAACAAAACAAAAAAAAAACAAACACAAACAAAACAAAACCAAAAAAAACCTATGCACCACACTCTAAAATCCTTTTTTGAAATTATGGCACTCATGCATAGAATCACACCACGGCCACTTCAAATTATATTGAAGGGGGACCTCCAAAATCAGTTGACAAGGAAAAAACAAAACAAAACAAAACAAACACAAACAAAACAAAACCAAAAAAAACCTATGCACCACACTCTAAAATCCTTTTTTGGTAGGGGATAGAGGGGGCTTCCTGTAACTTTTCTGTACGCTTGAATCTGCGTATTTTCCGGCAACAAAAATGTGGAGGGAGATTCCAAATCAAAATATTATTTAAAAGTGCAGCAAAAGATTATCCCAGAAAAAGTGAGCCCCCCCCCCCCCCCCACCTCCATCTTCACACTACGGGAACATTTTAAACCTTTATCTTCAAAAATCGAAATATTTCATGCATACATGTACTTCTAAAAGTTAGTACTTCTGAAGATGGTATACCTAAAGTTCGCTGGAATCTTCCTTGCATGTTACTTGTGGGTGGTCGGAGCCCTTAGCCAGGGTTACCAAGACAAGATAGAATTTGTCCCCATTGAAATTTAAAAGAACTCGGAGAAGAGTTTCATTACATACTAAAGTGCAGCCCGCTACTGCAATGCTTAACAGAAAAAAAGCATAAAATTTCAGAATGTAATTAATTTTGAACACATTATGAATAACAATAAACACTGTTTTCTGAGAAAATTGTGCTCGTTTATAAAGAAAAAAAATAAAATATGTCCCCGGCCTAAATTCCCATACTTCACATTTATAGCAATCTACAATATTTTTGTTTAGTTTCTATTCACACATGCTTTATAGATCTGCAGTTATGTATAAAATCACCTATATATTTTTATGATCTCTGTATACTGTTGTTAAATGGTGAAGAGATTCAAATAAATGATTGAAAAATGAATGAAGGTACACGGAGGAAAGCAAATCCGCGAAAATCTACAGATCTAGCGAAAGAAAAGACAGAGATTTTTTTGATTTCTTCAAATTATTAGACGTATAAATATCTATATTCTATATTACAGAAAAAACATTCTCTCTCTCTCTCTCCCTCCCTCTCTCTCTCTCTCTCTCTCTCTCTCTCTCTCTCTCTCTCTCTCTCTCTCTCTGCATGTGTGTACAAAAAAGGGTGTTCCAATCCCTGGAACCCCACCCCACCTCTGGATCCGCCAATGAATTATATTTTGAGATTCATATACCACATAAACGTTTATTGTGTATAAAATTATAAAATAAGTTTAAATCAAGTTATATTAGGTTTATATTTTAAGAAATAAAGCCAATACACAGTATTTATAATGAAAATATTTGATCGTAATGAAATCCAATCTTTTTCTGAGAGCGTTATGCATTTTTTATTACCACCCCCCCCCCCTTCACGGGAGAATCTCGTCAAAGGATGAATGATTCGTTATGTTGCATGCTATAAAATAAATTTAATGTAGTTAACCCATGTTTATAAATTTTGTTCTCATTTACATATACAGATAAGAGTTGAAAAAAAAAAATTGCATTTTTTCAATCAACCAAAATACCAGTAAGCTTTCCACCTTTGAAATTTCCCCTGACCAAATAGACTGATCGTCGTGGACCACGTGTGTCCAGGTGCTGTGTGGTGACAATTTTTTATTTTAGCAAAGGATTACATGACTTCTGAGACGCATATTTCAATAAAAGTAAAATAGGATATTTCTTTCGACATGTGCACATCCCTGTAACGATAGCAGTATTCATACAGGTAAATATCTTTATCACTGGCTGCGTTCGATGCGTATTCTCGACCTGCATGCATGCATATGCAAACGGTTTTTGCTGTTTTCCGTATTATTTTATCTAACTTGCAGCAAATGCATTCTAAAATAATTTACTTCTCAGTATAATTATAGTTTTTGTTGGATTTTAACTTTTAAAACATGTATTTGGTCAGTTTATGGATTTATGACAACTATGCTCTCGGAGATGTGTACATGTCGACAGCCACGTTAGAAAATCACCCAAGTGAAACAAATGAACCAGGCTTTATATAACAGGTACAGGTGACCAAAAATTTTCAAGTAATATGGCGGAATCGAAGAAATATGGCGGACAAAGGCGTACAGGAATGTAGTAAGTCGTACAAAGATGAAAATGATGCCTTTTTAAGAGTTCATGTCAGCTTTAAGATAAGTTCATAATTTAATTTCCTATTTTAAGGAGATCTTTCAATCTTTCAATTAATCTTAAAATATCAAACTAGCTGCAATTTAAAATAGCTGGTTATGAATAATCTGCAGAGCTCGCAAACTATATATGATCAAAAAAGCTACAATGTTCAGAGAAAAAACAATTTTTTGGGGTTATAGAAAATGGGCATAACTTTCATCATGATAGTTAATGATGGAAGATAATGTGAAAAATGTTTGCTGAACGTTGGAAAACAAGGGAATACAGCGCAGTTTAAATAAGTACAGTTAAAAAACGGTATCTTACATGTAAAATCAAATAACATTGACTACCCAGGGTATGTTGACGTTCGTGACAGTATTACATGGATGAATGATTTGAAAATACTTGGAATTGCAAAGATGATTTACTAAATGTTAATTTGATTGCTCATTTTGCTCAGATCTCTTTCTCATGCAGATTATTAATGAATAATGATTAAATCAGCACGCGTATATATATGACATAAATGAATCTTATACACTCAGTTTAGAATTGAACTTTGGCATCTTGAACACTGAGTGATATCTTGAACACATTGAGATATCAAAGTCATTTTGAAGTCCCTTGAACGAAAATTTTTTCCCCTGATATCTTACCCTAAATCTCTTGATCCCTTTGAAATCTCAGTTTTTCAGCACTCCCATAAGCTTTTCAAGATAAGAAGTCTGGCTTTATTTCATTGATTCAATTAAATTATGATGAATTATAAATAGATCAATCATACACTTTTATTTTGATGCATTAACATTTTATATTTTTCAGGCCATATAACAGATGGTTTCTGAATTCATGAAGATTAGGATTATACAGTACATTTCTTCTCTTACGAGGGACGTTCAATAAATAAATGTCATTAGCTCGATGACATACAACATAGAAGTCATATGACATTAAGCTTGACTTTCACTCATTATTGAATCTTTGATGAATTGATAACAGTTTATGTGACCACTTTTTATAGCATTATTTCATTGAAAACAAGGGCTATTCGAGACACTGTATTAAAAATAAATGGTCAAGATTCAGTAAACTAGAGTAAATTAAACGCTTCATTAAAGTACTGAAAAACTTGTTTATATCCAAAAAATATATAAACTGGAATATGTGAAATTTACAGCAACCTATGTCTGTTCTATAGACACGTGAAAAAGTAGATTTCAATAAACAAAAATTATATAATGGGCATCATAAATGGGTACCGTCGTTGACAACAATGACTTACAACAACTGATGTAAATTTGCAAAAATAAAACAAATTATCATTGATTATTTTTTATTGACTTTAAGACACATAGTAAAATTGATAAAAATCATTTTAGGGGTAGTTCACACTGTTTTAAAGAAACATTTGATGGTAAAAAAAAGTTTAATACTCAAAGATCACCCTATATTTTGAAAAATGAGTGAAAACGACAGCGTGTAGTAATATCTAGACAATTATTCTTAAAAAATCAAAAATTGTACTTTTCCACGTTTGTCTGAAATTAATACAGATAATGAAACTTGAATCCATTTTACTTTAAACCCTCAAAATAAATTTACAATAATATGCACTTGACAAACCTGCAAAGGCCTAAGAAGAGCAAAGAATTGCAAGCTTTTAAGGGCACAAAATCAGTTTTATATGCTATTTTCTAAAATATTAGCGGTCCTGTTGTTCAAATTCATATTTTGGGAGGAAGTTCAATTTCTGGAGGAGTATAGAAAACATTTTTTTTCGGCAAAACAATTGAAAGATTTATGAGAGGAAGGAAACAGAATAAGGAATCCACTACATCTAATTTCTTTATGACAGCGTCCAAACCCAAAGGTCATGAAGAGTAAAGAAGTTTGGGGGACAAACAGAAAGTTAATGTTTGTCACACCAACGAAATTTGCCAGATCTATCAACCTTTGACTTGTTTCATTTCCCAAACTTAGAAAAACATCTGTATAAGAAAAAAAACCAAGTCAGAAAATCATAGGATCTGCAATATTCCAGTATGCAAAGGTCATACTTCAAAATGTGTTCTAAAAACAATTAGAAATTGAATGAAAATGTTACAGACATGTGTTTTAATTAAAAGAGAATAATTTAGTTAAATCATTTAACGACGTAGTAGACTATGTTCCCTTGGAGGAAGTTGAAGTTCCGGAAGCAAATATTCTGCTTGTAGGACAAGTTGGTGCTGGGAAATCAAGTTTGCTGAATACTTTCAATTCCATATTTAAAGGAGAAGTGACGTCACGGACCTGGACAGGAAGTTCTGAACACAGTCTCACGGCAAGTGTAAAACGCTTTAAATTGTCCCTCTCGAGTTCTGTCGATTGATGCAAAAAAGAAGATACAAACATTATTTGTATATCGTAAAATCTGTAATTTAAATGAAATTTACTTCATTATATACAAATAGAAATTCATTTCATCGTATGTGAAATGTTTTCAATAAATAAATATAGCATATTCTTGTATTTTTAAAGGGTTTTCTAATAATGTGCTTGAAGAGTATTGAAAAGTACCTTTAAATTGTTTCAGCTCAACAAATTTCGTATCAGGCACCTCCCACAAAGAAGTTTTTAAACTTCAGATTGTGCGACATGCGAGGACTAGAAGAGAACTTATGTATAAAATATGAAGACATGGCTTTCGTCATGGAAGGAAATCTACCAAACAACTACAAGGTTTGTTTGGTGAATTATCAAGAGTATTTTTTTTATTATTCTAAAGGAAAAATATATCATGTAAGTGTAATTATAATGAAAACAAGATGTGTTTGAGAAACACTATGCACCTGGCGGCATCAAAATTTTTAAAAAGCTCTAGTTTTGGCATATATGTCACAGTAAAGGTTACAAGGCCATTGACCTTGATGTCATTTGAACGAACTTGATTAGTAAAGTATGGATACTAAATATGAAGTCTGTATCTCTTATAGTTTAAAAGGTATGGCAAAGGTACGAAAAAACTATTTTTAGCATACAGGTCACAGTCAAGGTCACAAAGTCATTGATCTTGGTGTCATTTGACAAAGATTAATTAGTTAGATTTGCATTCCAAATAAAAAGTCTCTATCGTTCATGGTTCAAAAGTTATGGCAAAGGTTAAAGATGGCAGATAAAAAGCTGCGTTTAGCATATAGGTCACAATCAAGGTCACAAGGCCATTGACCTTGGTGTCATTTTAAAGAGCTTAATTGGTGAGGTATGCAAACCAAATATGAAGTCTCTTATCTTTCATGGTTCAAACGTTATGGCGAAGGTTAACGTTGCAAACAAAGAAACAAACAGACAAACAGGACAAAAACAATATACGCCCCGGATCTATCAATTCGGGCGCATAAAAAGACTAAGTATGTTCTTGTACATTCTTATACTACGATACATTTTAAAGGGGTATGGACACAGTTTCAGCTAAAATTTCAAAATTTATTTTTTCCATTTTTACAAATATTTAACTAGGGTCTTTCTAATAATTATCAAAAATTTAAACGTCAGTTGTCCAGATACAAGACAGATTTAGAGCTCCAAACCTCTGTTATGTAGACAAGGTATTTGTCATGATTTGTTTACACAGGTTATTATACTAATATAAGTCCGTTCAAAGTAGATAATTTCAAATAAAATTTAATTTTAAATGCAATTTTAAAAACAGTTTGACAATTACTATTGATTTGCTGAATTTCATTTTGTTATAAATATGATATTTTCTATATGTAAACAAAAACAAGGCACGAGACTTGTTCACATTATGAACTTTAAGTTCTGTTTCTTGTTTGTTAATCAACAAATGATGTTCAAATTTTTGCAAATCAATATATGATGCCTTAAGTATGAATTATAAACATTAAAATTGGTTTAAAAAATTTAGTTGAAACTCTGTCCATGCCCCTTTAAATACATTTATTAGTAATGTTCATTCGATTTAGAATGCAATTTTTAAAGTATAAATACATATATTATCTGAATATTTGATATACATGTATAATTACTACTAAATTTCAATGAGAAAGGCTAGGACAATATTTGTACCAATTTATGGTGGATACTTTTTCATTTACATGTACGTTAATGATATATATGTGACTAGCTGTCAATGCTCATTAATGAACATCCAATCTTATTAAGTTTAACCCTGTGGCCCAGGCCTCCTTTGACACCCCTGGCTTTCAGAAGCAGCCAACGCTGAAGGATAAAATACCTGTAGTTGTTTTTGTGGTGGACAGAAGCAATTTGAAGTGATGCCGGAGGGAATTCTAAAGAAGCTCAGGGAGACAAGAAGCATGGCTATAGATAGAGGTAAATATAACAATATAATCAAATATGTTTTTATGATCAAGTTAAAATCACAGACACTCGTGGACAGGAAAACCGGATTAGAACCCTGCACAACCCTACCCCCGGCCCGCTTTCAACCTATGCATGAGCGTGGTTTTTCTTCACATATAATATTTATTTAACTTGTTTATCATGAATATGACAGATAAATTAGGATCATTACATTATATTGGCCTAAAGGAGATTGTAAGACGGATTTTTTTTTATAAAATGCTTAATTTTCCTTTGTTGTCGTTGTTTGAAATGTTCCTATGGTATAATTGCACATATTTCAGCTTGTCTGTAAATATGTGCCGTTATCAAAGCTTACCTCTTTCTAATTTTGCATTAAACTGATATTAATTTGGATTTATATATTGTGTAGATTTAAAATTTGATTGTTTTGTTGATAATTTTGTGTATCAGTCTGTGGTGTAATCCGGAAACTTGGACCGGGAATTTATACGCATCTCGTCCATCACTCTGAATTTACAGCATCCCCACTTCCTTTTTCAATCATGGCCTGTAACCAGCGGATGGTTTGGAAATTAGAGTGAAAAATATTTCTAAAATATAACTGTTAAGTAATCGGAAAAACTCCATTTGATTTCAAAACATTAGTCGAATCAATTGCATTACAAGACATTTTAGACCTGGAGCGCTTTCGATGGCTGCATATTTTTTGGATATTTGGAGATTCTTGTAGGACAGCGTGCAGCATTCTCTAGTGTGTCGGTATCGCCATTATTCAGTTGTGGATTCATAACTTTCTTCAAATAACAAACCTACCTTTGATAATTTGTGTAAGCATGCCGCCCATAAGGACAAGACGCAGAGGAGAGAATAGTAAAAAGCATGTCGGCCGAGAGGCCCAGCCCAAAGGTCAGGATCTAGGGGAATCGCCACAGGATCATTGCCAGTGGCGACACAACAGGCGCCGGCGTACGACGGAATGGGGAACCAAAATTTAACTGACCAATCAACAGGTACAAATGATTTTCTGTCACAAGATGGGGGTTCTATCCCCACATCACTAAATTCAATTCAGTTTTCATTGGGCCATAATGTAAATGAGACTATCAGACAAAAAATTATTGAAGGCAAATATGTTGATTTGTCACTATTATTAAGAAATTCAAATATTGAATACTCAGCTAATGAGCGAATTTTATATTGGGTAATGATGGCCAAATGCAAAGCAAACCCAAGAATACTAAAAAAATCACAACAATCGAGAAATGGACAGATGCCTTCCTCATTTATTTGAGCAAATATACATCTGTCCATACAGGGAAATATCAGGATTTACTAAAATACATGCACGATGTGCGTGCTGGGGCGGGTAGGTCCTCTGGGTGGAAACTTTATGACGAGCAGTTCCGCCTAAAATTGGCTATGGATCCCAGCAAATCTTGGTCAGCCGTAGATACGGAATTGTGGGTCATGAATATGTCTGGGGTCAAAACGTATCGCCTTTGGGAACTCGAGGGGTAAACAAATGTTACGCATTTAATTTTCAGGGGTTTTGTATGAGGAAATCATGCTCATACATGCACACTTGTATAAAGTGTGGTCAAGATCATGCCATGGTAAATTGCCCCTTCTCTGCAAATGTAGTAAACAGGCAAACTTCTTATTTCAACCCAAGACAGGCCTTCCGGCCAGGGGTCCAGCAATCCAGTCGACCTTACGGAGCTTCCACCCCCCCCCCCAACTTAACCTTAGACGCCCTCGATTCTCGGGTCCCAAATTTATGGGAAATAGGTTCAATACCAACTAGGGTTTCTGCATTGGCACCTTTTTTGCAACAATATCCTATAAGGAATGTAGCAAACGAATTATTACAAGGATTCACTTATGGGTTTAAGTTAAAATATACAGGTCTAAGAATGTTTATTTTATCTGAAAATTTGCTTTCGGCTAGGCAATTACCTAATCAGTTGCAAGAAAAAATTGTAAAAGAAATACAAAAGGGAAGGGTAATGGGTCCGTTTTCACACCCACCTATACCTAATATGCATATTTCTCCAATAGGTCTAGTTCCAAAGTCAAGCGGTGGTTGGAGGATGATTACACATCTATCGTACCCTCCATCCCTTGGCATTAACTCATTTATTGACCCAGACCAGTGCAGTGTTTAATATACAGCTTTTGATACAGTAGTCGATATGATAAATCAGTTAGGACCTGGGGCTGAGTTAGGGAAGGTCGATATAAAAAAATGCATTTAGGTTACTCCCAATATACCCTGGAGACTTTGAACTGTTGGAATTTAGATTTAAGGATCAATACTATTTTGACAAGTGCTTACCCATGGGATATTCCATTTCTTGTTCAATTTTTGAAAAGTTTTCAACATTTTTGCAGTGGGTTATAACAAAGAAATTTGGTTTGAATACAGTAAAGCACTATTTAGATGATTTTATCTTTGCGGGGAGTAGGGGATCAGGTGAATGTTTAGGTTGTGTGCAAAGATTTTGGGGTTCCTTTATCAATAGATAAAACACAAGGACATGTTACTTGTTTAGTGTTTTTAGGGCTGGAAATAGACACAGTGCTTAAAATTGTAAGGATCCCAAGGGATATAATACAGGAACTCAAAGGTCTGCTTGGTATTCTAATGGAAAGGTCAAAGGTTAAGTTGAAAGAAATGGAATCACTAGTCGGAAAGCTAAATTTCTTTTCCAAGGCTATCAGGGGTAGTACGGCATTCAACAGAAAATTTTATGATACTATGATTGGCATTTCTCGTCCCAATAGTCACATTAGAATCACTAGGGCTTTGAAAGAGGATATGTTAATGTGGGTTCATTTTTTAGAACATTTCAATGGTGTATCTTTCTTCCCATGTTCGGAATGGGTGAATTCGAACAATCCAGCTTTACACAGACAGTGCAGGATCTATTGGTTTTGGTTGTGGGTGCTTTTTTTAAAGGAAGGTTGGTTTATTATGAATGGCCTTTAGAATGGGAAAATCATGATATCATCAGGGATATAACATTTCTGGAGTTAGCCCCTATAGTGTTGTCAGTTATGATTTGGGGGGAGGAACTTAGCTGTCATAAGGTTCAATTCCATACAGATAACATTGCCTTGGTAAGCATCCTGAACACTCAGTCGTCAAGGTCTCCGTGAATTATGTTTTTAATAAGGAAGCTAGTTTTAATGTTTATGCAATATAATATCATATTTAAAGCCAAACATATTTCCGGCATTGATAACGGTATAGCAGAGGCTATTTCTCGTAAACAGTGGGGAAGATTCTGACAACTTGCTCCAACAACAAACCAGGTCCCAGATCCCATTCCATCCACATTTCACAGTCTGATGTCCAGGGGGAAGTTTCTCGACTATTGATTGCATCCAATTCCTACAAAACTACAGTAACCTATAAAACAGGGCTAATGGCATTCCACAAGTTTATAAGTATGTCAAATGAAAAAATTATATGGCCTCCTCCGGTAGAGCAATTAGTTAACTTCATTGCTTACCTATCACTCAATGGCTATGTAGAGTCTACAGCTAGAGCCTATGTAGGGGCTATTGGCTAGAAGTGCAAGATTAATGAATTTGAAGACTCAACTAATAGGTTCATTGTTTCTAAAATGTTAGAGGGTTTCAAGCGTCTCAATTCTAGGGTTGATGAAAGGTTGCCAATTACAGAAAAAAATTTGGCTAGATTAACGGGGGCATTGAGCAGTGTGTGTTCAAGTTTTCATGAAGCTAAATTATTCACAGCAGCATATACATTAGCATTTTTTGCCTTTCTGAGGGTGGGAGAATTAGCTATATAGGGCAACAACTCTCAAACCATTTTGGGAATTGGTGATGTGAACATACAAAATAATCAACTGACATTTGTATAAGGTGCTTTAAAACTGATCAGTTGGGAAAGGGGGTAAAAGTCGTGATAAATAATCATGGTTCAATTATTTGTCCAGTGCAGACAATGGCTAAGTTTTTGGAAGTAAGGCCAAACTTTCCGAGCCCCTTGTTTTGTCATTTTGGAGGAAAGCCACTCACAAGATATCAATTTTCAGCAGTTTTAGATAAAGTCATTGTAGCTATTGGACTAGAGAGCAAATATTACAAGTCTCATTCTTTTAGGATAGGGGCTGCAACAACAGCAGCAGACAAGGGTTTTTCAGATGAAGAAATTAAGATAGCTGGCTGATGGAAATCAACTGCCTTCCAGACATATATAAGATCTCCACTTAGCCGAACAGCTCCTTTATCATAATAGCTTATTTAATCTTACTGGCATGCATTTGTTAATTAATATTACAGGGTTCCCAAAACCAAACAGAATTACAGTTTGGATTGTTGGCTCATCAATTATAAAAAGGGCATCCACAGCAGCAAGATTAAGACCGGGGGGTTGGAGCCTTGGGCTGAACCAAAGAGGGGTAGATATTTGGTGGCAAGGGTATGGGAGTTTAAAATTTATTGACCTAGTTCAGGTTAGATACTTGGCAACATTAGAGGATCCCCCAAGGTATTTACTGATTCATTGTGGGGCCAATGATCTGGAGCAAATTAAATTGTCAAGATTATTGTACAGAATTAAGTGGGACATCCAATTACTGTCAAGTATCTTCACCAACACTACCCTCGTTTGGTCTTTTCTCCTCCCCCGCATTTCATGGAGACACTCAAGTAACATCATAGCAATGGAGCAGGCAAGGGATAGGCTAAACAGATGGGCAGTCAAACAGGTATTTCAGTATGGGGGAGAATTATCATGCATTCCCAATTTATAGGTAAACCGGTACAATTGTATTACTCAGATGGAACTCACTTGTCAGAGTTAAGGAATTACATTTTCCTCAACAACATTCAAGGGGCCCTGGAATATTTTGCAAGTGGGGGTACAAGCAAAGAATTTCCTTGTAAATAATTCTGGCAGAGGCACAGTGGTCACCTTGAAGGTTCCTACCTCCACCATGTGGCGGTGGGCAACCTGGCTCCGAGGTTATAAAACTCTTTGGAGTTCA